TAACAATAATAATAATAACAATAGTATTTATGTGCAGTAAGGAGTGAATTGCGTCCCACCTTACAGTTTTTTCGGTATTTGTAATCTCTGAGTTGTTGTCAGCCATATTACAGGTTTTGATGACAAATGATTTAACGAGATACACGGGGAGTCCTAATTATTCTGCAATTAGAAATGTAATTATGGCTTGCTTCAACAGCTGCTTCCGAGATGGCAAGTGGCATGAAGCAGCAGATGCTGAGCTGATATCACCTTCTACTGCAAGATAATCGGTCATGGAGGGGTAGATAGAGCTCCAGTCAAAGGCCTAACACTCAAACGGGTCTACTTCCCTTCAGAATAAAATTGTTCAGTGGTGTAACGATATGATAAAAACTTGGTTGAAAAGGTTTAAACTACTCCCCACCTCCACAACTGTCGTAATAAACAGTCTTCAGAAAACTTTACCAGATCTTACCAATCTTTCTTTAGAAACAAATAAACCCTGCTCACAAACTAAAAAATGTCAAACCAGCAAATGTGAAAACAGCTATGACTGTGTTCAGAAGGAAACCTTCTCATACTTTAATACATGCTATTTTTCAGCCAATGCTGTAAATCTCTTAAGCTTCATTAAGTGACTTAATGAAATTGATTTGTAACTAATTTATGCATCTAGGATCTGGCCACGCGAGTGTTGACTGAACTCTTCTTATCCACAAAATTCATGAGATTTTAGAGGCTTATTTTCCAAACACAAAGAAAATATAACATACCAGCATTTTGTGCTGAACTCTTTCTAAAGCACCGACCTTTTCTATTATTTCTCATGGTGACTGACAACAATTAACAATGGCATCAAGAGACGGAGATTCCTTTGGAGCCGTCATGATTTGAATCATCCTCCTCTGAAAATGCAAATTAGTAACAAAACAAGTGAGCATATTGTTACTCATCTCACAGTCAGTGTGCATGTGTGCCATGCTCGCAGGCAGTTTTTGGACCCTGTGTTGAAGTGAGGATCTTGTGCCACTGACAACAGATGAAGACTAAGCGGGTATAACCCCTTTAACCCCACCCTGAGCTGTGGTTGACCTGCCAGAACTTGGCGGCCTCGCTATGCTATCAATAGACTGCCCTTTGGGACACTAAATTATAAGTGCATGGAAACTCTCAAGTAATTGAAAGCACTGTTTATGTATGAATTGCCTTATATAGGGAGTTTTACTGTGGATTTTACGCCCTTCTGAAATGGTTTACATGTGAAGAGTAACATCCTTTTCACTGAACACAGTTTAGGTCCTTTGTGCTGTGGACGGTTTCTAAGAGTGTATTCTTTATGTGGGAAGGCAAAACAGCTGGAAAGAATCTCGACTCAAACACTTTTGAGATCAGACTTTTAATTGGACTTAAATTCACATAAATAACATTGGTTCTTATATATTTTGTACATTATACAACTTTATATAATATATATTTCCTCCTATGATTTACATTCCTCTCTGGCTAAAGTTATCTCTGTTATATCTATGGAAACAGAAAGCATTTCATGGAGGCAAAACCGCTCTTTTTGTGCTGTTTATCAAGGTCCCAGTGCCAAAAAGGAGAGGAGTCTTTTGTCTTTGTTGTACAAAAAAAACAAAAAATAAATCCCCTAATTACACAAACAGAAAAGCAAGAAGGGGAATCTATTGCATTGATTCTAAGGTATTAACACTGCACTACGAGGAGTGGGAAGCTACTGAAAATCATTCACCATATATATTTAACTGGATTGACTCGTGACACAAAAAAAGAGCACTGCAAACGACCTGATATGCATGGCAATGACAATTTTGTGTGTTTCTGACATGTTTTTCTATTGTAAAAAAAACAAAGAGAGAAATAATATATTTTACTTGATAATAAATCTCACTGTGAAGAGTTATGAACCTGCAGCAAGGTCACATAATCATGCAGTGACCCGACCAAGGAGGCTCGCACAGATGAGTTGAGCTTGTCCGCCCAGATCACAAATCAACCCACGGTCAAGCCTGAGACTGATATTATTCAACAAGATCTATGAATATCTGGAAGCCAGGTGACATTCTGTAATCTTCCGAACAGAAATGGAAAAAATGAAAAACTCTTCTCCCACATCTGGCTGTTACCTTTGACTTGTGGATTATCTTTAGCCCTCACCGCTGTCATCCACTAAGCCTATGGTTTCCCTACACCAACAGTAGCATGCTGACATTATGCAATGTGAGATTGTGATTGCCCACACACAGCTGATTGCTCGCTAGACGCACCAGCAAATGATTTACCAGAGCGTGCCTGCTGGTCGCTGATTTTATGTTGATTTTTTTCAAGGCAATGACACCATTGCCTGCCAGAGGAGACAAGTTTAATGACTGTCAATATTATGCACACAACATTACATGACAATAGAAGGGTGATTAAAAAAGAGTTATGAGGTGCCATGTTTTGTCAAATCTATGTTTAAAAGTCTTCAACTGTCTCTCTAAAAGCTACGTCCAGTGTCTGTTAACTACAATCTGAACTTCTCCTTTGCAACCTCGGCATAAACTACAGTATAATACACATTTGATTGTCTGAATCAGGGCTGCTACCAGTTTGCCAAAGCCGAGACACCTTCACCAACATGAGTAATTGAAATGCAAACAAAAAAAAGCATACAATGTGTCCAGCTTCAGCTGCTTGTTGAATAGCGAATAAGGACAAAATGAGCTGGAGATCAGGTCTGAATTGAGCAAATATTCAGTGGAGAATAGAGACAAGATTTAGTGAACCGTTGCTCAGTGAATCCCAGAAATCTATGATGTGTCATGCATCACAATCAAACCAACCCGAACAGAACACGGCGCCTACTGCTGTGCGCGTATGTGCGTGTGTATGTGTGTATTAACAAATCACAAGAGGAAAACACGACCACGCCATGACATTTTGACAGACATCAAATTTAAGGGTTAACCTTTTGAAAGGCCCGAACAGCCACCCAAAAGTTAAATGTGTTTAAACAGCTATAGTTTATCATTATATTGTCAACATTTAAAATGTCATAATTGTCAGTATAATCACATTTTTTTCCAAACCAGATAATTTCTCTGTATGTCTTTGGAAGAATTGAAATGGAGAGGGCAAGTTCTTGGCTGTCATGGAAACCTTTATAGTTTGGACTGTTTAATGTTACAAAATGCTGGTTGCACAAAGTTTGTATTGTGCTTTAATGAAAACTAATTCCAGACTAGTAATTATTTTCTGAATACTTGCAGAAAAACAGAATGAGTTAGGAAATGAAATGTTTCCTCCCGCTCCCCATTACATCTCTGCCACTCAGCTCCATCTATGTCACCACAAAAAGAGGGTAAAGAGTGTTCATTCAAAAGTGCATCTTAAATATGTTGCCATCAATAACAAAAGTAAACTTTCTTTTTGCCATAAATAACATTACACTTTTCTTTCTTGTATATTCAATATATCTCTTATTACACAAGCCGAGTAGTCATACGATGCAAATCTTCCTCACATGATGTTGTTAGTACAGTATCCAGGAGAAACATCTAAGAGTCCTGGAATGTGGAAGCTGTACCCCACCAATACAAACTCTGCTGATGAGCCAGCTGTATTGTAAAGCTATGGGAGGAAGACCAAGGAGAAGACTTCAGCAACAACCACTGAAAGCTGCCACAGACACACGAGCAGTGACAGCAGAATATTTACAAATCTACTTGTAGCATTGAATTTAAATGCTGGTATTCCTCAGTCTGGTGAACACAGTCTGTTTGGAAAACTTTACTGACACATAATTTAATATGTCTGTAGTCTCAATACTGATCACAAATGACCTGCAAGGGCCCAGAGCATTAAGTGTTACGGTGCATCAGCACTCCCTGAACTGGAGGAGCTACTTTGGGAACATATGTTATGGTAGTATGATGCAACGGTTAATGCACAGCTATGTTTCCAAGCCAGTCAGGCAAGTAACATTTTCAGTTCAACATCCTTGGACAGTTGTACCGGAGATATGTGCATGTGTTGTTTATTGTATGTAAAATAAATTTACAGATCAAAACAAAAAAACTGTCAAGATAACGCATGCAGATATCGTGCACCCCTTTACGGCCTCAATCATGCTTAAAGATTATAACTGCTTAGCTGCTAATCTTTTGCCATTTTGAGTTGAAAGTTGATTTCTATGGTTTGTTTAAAAATGGGCGAACTATGCCGGCCTAAATCCTTTCTAATTGTAGCATCTTGAAAGTGAATCAACTGAAATATTAAACCTCCAAATGTTAAATTTGTAACAAAGCACCAAATGAGGCTTTATTCTTTATGTTGCCAAGCAAAACCAGATAACGGCACTTGCTGAACATTTTGCAGTGAATATACAGAATCACATCCATTTTCTGGATCTAACTTCTTTCTATGAACTTAAATTAACTGAATACCAATCTATTCATTAGTAATTAAGTCTAAGTCAGCCTTTGTTTTTATCTGTTCACCAAACCTTTCAGTAACTGCATTAAAATGAAATGAGAACAGAAAATTGGGAGTTATCTTCAGTAAAAGACTTTCACTTTAAAAATATACAGCATATTTTTCAGTTTTGATTTTTTTTCACTGTTCGTATGTTGTAGCTTTAAACTTTAAATGGTAGGCATGAAGATTATCACCTTGGTCTTCTGCTTAGGTGTCAAATCAGGAGGAAAAAAATGAAAAGGGAAGACCTAAAATGGTCCTGGAAACCAGGAATCCAGCCCTGCCCATCACTGACCGATCCTCAGCCAGTGAGCTCAGGGCGTCAGATGAAATGTCACACACTGTGATGCTCACAGTCAACACGACTTCTCCAAATCCACTAACAATCCTGCAAAACATAGGATGACGACAGCTGGTGGCGTGCATATTTCCAACGCTTTTCTAGATAGAAAAAAAAAAAACCTGCTCTTGTGCGAGGTTCGGACCTCAGCCACGCGGCATCTGTCGGCTCTCAATCAGCCTCTCCGTCACTGGCTCAGTCAGTGGCAGGACTTCATCCCTGTCAGGTACGGCGACTCTTGACGGCACAGGCCCATTTGCTGCTGCTGCTGCTGCTCCTGGAGGTCTGAGGCCACCCCGTCCACAAAATCTGGGACAGGCAGCCCTGAGAGGATCATGACTGACTTGTTCCAGATCATGAAAGTGGGTACGACGGGCAGGAGGAAGGAGATTTCGAAGGTGTGAATGTGCTGGGAATTCATGGCGTCGTGGAAGGACAGGGAGTTGTTGTCGTAGTCCAGCAGAACCCCCAGCCGCCGCAGCTGCAGGCTGGCCTCCACCAGCATCTCCTTCCCATCGTGCCGCACCATGAAGTTGTTGTTGCAGCGGGACAGCACCCACGAGGAAGAGTTCTTGCCGCTCCACTCGTTTTTCGGGGCTGATTTGTAAGCCACGCCGATAGCATACCTGCAGGGGGGGAACGTTTGGAACACATTAGTCATCTGAAAGTAGTGTCCTATTTAACAGCTTGCACTGTCAGATTACCAAATGCTGATGACACACAGGATAGGCAAAGACCCTTTGGGTCTTTCCTCCATCTACTTCACAGCCAATTAGTCGGGGAATATAATTAGACTGAGTGTATTCGCTGTGGTGAATGCGCCCTGTTGTGTGTGAGCGAGTACAGTTTGCATAACAGCCTAAATTTAAACTCCCAATAGAAAGATATTTCGGTTTACCTCCTTAGGAGCTTATATAAAGCACCCATGCGTGGGTGTGTTTTCTTACCATGTGGAAGCTCCCAGCAGCACCTCCCAGTAGTGACACCCACTGTCAATAAAGACATTCCCGGCAGCTCCGTAGGAGCCCGTGCCGCTGAAGCGCTCCGGGGTGTGGCTCTTCTTCAGCGAGCTCTCGTCCTTCTCCATGGTGAGGCAGTCATTGGACAAACGCAGCTTCTTGTGGGCTGTCTTCGGGTCCAACTTGAAAGGCTGACCTGGGGAGAGGAGCACTCAGTTTAGTAAAAAAGCTATGGGTCGATTTTTTAAAGAACAAAGGATCCTTTTCCAGCTGTTAAATCATAAATATGACCAAAACATTGTCAGCAAATATGTTCAGATTTTTTAATACATAAAATGTTCTTTTCTTTTTAATGTACAGACCACAGAAATAAGCACATAGTAGATTATCATTCTAAAATAAAGAATGGATATACTGGCTGCAAAGCCAATGGGTTATGGAAAATGGACTCTCAATTTCAAGATGAAATGGCTTTTTGGAGGTAGTCTTAGTGTAAGAGCAAAACATGGAATCGACTCAGATTTATTACCTCCTTACAAAATCGACGGGGCAAATGTGTCTCCAACAATGGCCTGCTGAGAGTCCAGCAGTTCCTGAGCGACATTACCATCCATTTAAAGTCAAGTTTCCGCAGTCTCTGTGATCCCCTGAGCGAATATTCCGGGCTTTTAGCTGCTGCTTCACCACATTCGCAAGTCAGTCACTAACTTTGTGTGTCTGATGCTTTAGTTCACAATAATTCAAAATTGTTGAGCGTCAAAAGATACCCCGAGATCAAAAGGACCAAGAGCTGACAATATGAATGGAAATTAGAGGAAGACTTTCAGTTAGAGCAGCAGTAACTTAAGTGGATAAATAGGATGTGGGGTGAGAAGTGCTTGCAGAGAACTCACAGGGAGAGACAGACGAGGAGACTGTTTGAAATACAAGGGCGAGAGTCTAAACTTCAAAGCCTCCTGCTCCCTTTGGTAAAAACATTTCATAACAGTGAAGGAAGTCGCCCGGCACTTTCTTCTCTTCCTTCAATCACACAGACTGTTAAATTAGCCAAAGGAAATACCCTTCACTTCCACTGCGGCAGGTAAAGGTTGGGACTAGTCAGTGTTAAGACTCCTATTTGTCTGCCGCGATTCTGTTTGCAATTACACCAGTAATTTTACTGTAATGGGTGCAAAATTGAGAGGGCAAAACTCGGTGAGTTGCGTGGAGGAGGAGACCCAAAAGTCATGGGCAGAGAAGAGGTTGAGGGGATAATATGGGACAGTCCAATTGGTGGAGGATCACCTCTCAACCTCTCCAAGACTGTGTCAGTGAGTGTGTGTGTGGCTTCTTGAAAGTCAGCCACATCCCTTTCAGACCTGACATTTAACTCTGACACCTCTCGTCTCATCACTCAGCCTCTCTGAGTCTCCCATGGCTTAATGAGCAACACAATGAGGACCCTGACTCCTCCTTCCTTCTCTCTATCTGCCCTACCCTTCATCTCTCTTACTCCCATTCTTTCATTCTCATCCTCTCTATCCTCTCTCCACTCTCACTCACCCCTCTCCAATAATCTGCGGGGTGAGTGTGTGTTACTGCGTGTGGAAATGAGACGATGAGGCCAGTGTGCTGCTGGCAGCCAATTACATTAATGCGCTCTCTTTGAACTGCTTATCGCTGCCAGCGCAGCCATTTCCAAACACTAGGGCTCTGTCATGCCTTTCCAGAGGATGACTCCTGAGAGCCCAGGCTGGGCTCGGGGTTGGGGAAGGGGAGACACATGTGACAGTAGAGGACAAGCAGACACACACACACACACACACACACACACGCACACACAAACACATTCACACAGGACATGAGCTTCAGCCGCCACAAATGCAGGCGTATTACAGTAAAGTGACAAGTTTTGAATGGGTTGGAAAACGGAGAAAGACAGGCAAGAAGTTTGTCCTGCAAATGAAACAAGCTAAATGCAACTAAAAGAGCTGCCGCGCCTCTCCTTTGGGTGGTTCCATGCTTATGTCTGCACCCAGACCTTGTCCTCTAAATACCGTACAGTTTTTTTTACTCCTGCCATCTTGACTATGTAAATGAAGCACAAGGAGCACTAACTACTTTTAAAGCGATATTCCTTGTTTTTTTAATTTATATTCTAATTGAGGCTGTTTTTGAGCACTTAGATGTTGACAGAATGTAGGGACAGAGTAAATAATTGCAAAATGATACAGTAGATCCACAACATAGCTATTAGGCCACTAATACATTTTTGTTTCAGGTGGTATGGTCCTCTGAAAATAATAAAAAAGCTCCTCTGATACTTTTAAGAAAACCTCACTGTAATCAATCATTAATATTAATTAAATACACTAACCCTAACCGCCTCATTGTGCTTATACATCCCTGATGAAGTGACAATTAATTTAATTGTATGGGAAGTCCTGGGAATGTAGGTTTACCTGAGAAAAATGTGCTCAACTTCCAACTACCCAAAAAAGTCCTTTTGCAGTAAAGCAGACTGTGGTAGTCTGTGATCTGCAGCTTTACCACTTAATGAACTTGGCAAAATCTTCAGAGGCAACTGCCAGAAAAAAAAGGCTTTTGTGTCTGCTCAGAACTGCATTGTGATTAGGAAGACAGAGACGACAAGTTTAATTGAAACACAACTTTTTAAATGTATGAGTCATTGGTAGGGCTTTTGTGTTTGTGTACGAAAGATGTAATCGTTCATTAAAACGTCAGACAGAGACAAAGTTCTTCTTTTTCATTTCAAACAAATGTGCTGCATGAAAGAAATAAATACAAACCATATTAAATGGAACTTGGAAGGACTGTTAATCAATATAAACCTTTACTTGGTGAGATACTAAGGTTTCTGCTTTTCAGCGATCACATTCACAGTGTTTCGTCTGACATGAAAATAGAAACTTCCAGCTGAGAGCTCCACTTACTGGCATTTTCACCTGCTGTGTGAATACAGGACGGTGCTTTGACTGAGCAGACATACAGACAATTTTGTTACAAAAAACCCAAAAGGCAGACGACAAAACGCACTGCAAAACCTGGCTTTGGACCCATCATGACCATGCATGGCTTGACTTTTCAAACCGGGACTAATACAAACACCACGTGAACATTTCCATGAAACATTGTTTCAATAAAATAAAAAGAAAATGACAGATTAAACAGAGGCAGCTCTTTCCTCCTGACCCACAGCCGCACATATGACATCAATTAGAATAAGCAGCAGATCTGTGACTGTTTTTTAAGCTTTTGGTAAGACAAACATTTGATAGGGAGCCTTCCTTCCACACAAATGAAAGCATTCACATCATCATTTGACTGCTCAGAGAATTCATGCAGATAAAACAAATGAAGTCATGAATAATCCATGGCAAGACTTATCGTTCATGTTGTTCCAGGACATTTATTTTCACTATTCTGACTCTCTGCTAATACTGCCTAAATACAAAACTGCACAAAGGTTTTAATCTCTAAAAGCTAACTGAGGATGATTTCAATCAGAATATAACCCAAGCAGAGCTCTGAGGTCTGCAGTCAGCTGGTAGAACCTTCAAATAGGACCAAACAGGGTGAAAATACATTTAGTTATGCTGTACAGAGATGGGATAAACTTTCTCTCGATGGCCAACCTGTCTTGGGTTTTATTCATTCTCAATATCTTTGTTGCCATTTTGTATAAATATGCTATAAATAACCTTATCTTAATTTCTTTCATTTAGATCTGGTATCTGTAAGATACCTCTAACTGTATAAGAACATAATTTCCCTTAAATTTTGTGTTATAGTAATTAATTTGAGTAAACATTGAGTTGAAATAAAGAAAAAGAGGGAAATGTGCAACAAGCAAACCCCGTTTCCTGCTCGAATCAGACACGGGATATTTTCAAATGCACAGCATTCAGCATTCTACTATTTCATATGGAAGCCGGCACTGTTCTTTTTTTAAACCTGAACCGCAATTCTTCCCTTGCTCCCAACACTTGTACTCCCTCACTTCTTCTCCACCTCCATCGGTTTACTTTAGGGGCTCTACGGTAGCTTGAGGGCTGTCATCAGAGATGTATGCGGGGTAAATATTATTGCAGGAAGAGAGATGTGCACCCATTGGGCACCTTGACGTGTGATATTTCCAGCTTGGATTTTAGCTGCTTACCTAGCCCAGTGACTAGAATCAGACAGAATGCACACATGGTGCAAACACACACTCACAGAGGCTCTCTGGGGTGTTTGCCCACTTGCTTTGTTCACACAATGTGGATGCCCAGAATAGTTTACCAACAGAATGACGAACGCTGTGAGCCGACAGTCAGTGTTTCCTTGTCAGCAAAGTAGCTGCTCAAAGAAAAGCTTGCACATATTCAAATGTGCTTTTGTTTGGACACAATGCGCTCACTCAAAAGACAGGCTTGTTTGTAGTTGCAGACAATGGAGCTGCTAAATGAAGGCATATTTAAGACTGAATTTATGATGTTGGTACTCCTCCGTCACACTATTCTGCAGCCTGGAACAATAAAAGGACACGATGTGGGTGTTAATGTTTGCAGGCTTTACAGTGTGAAGGGCAGTGAGAGTGTCAAAGCATAGGTCTTGACAATCAGAACAGGTTAAGGTGGACAAACCCAAACAGGTTAGCAGCTTATCATCCAAATGTTGGAAGCTCCGCCTTTTAGCATACAGTGGGAAATTTGAACATTCATTACAGAAACTTTGAAATTATGCTAAAAAATGCTAAATCAGACCTGAAAGCCAGAGGCCCAAAACGCATGAAAAAAACCCCACGTCACTGCCATCTTAACAACCATTCACTATTCACTTTAATTTCCTGACCAGTTTTCTGTCACTACAGTCCTCCCCCACTCTGCCTTTTGTTAATTTGAATTAATTAGTGAAGAGATAACCAATTAAAAAGCACAGACAGGGCACTGGCAGATGAAAGCTGCCCTCCGTGATGCTCATGCTCTTTCAGTCACAACTATGATTAAAATGTGACCAAAATAATTTGCAACTTCAAGTCACTCAAGCTTAAAAACGCCCAAAAAACATTATCAGCCAGTGGTGCTTTAGGTATTTTAAAGAGTAGGTGGGGCAGAGGTTGGTCTTTGTTTTTCTTTAAACATTATTGCGGGAATATTTTTCTATAGTGAAAAAGCATTGAGCTTTCTGAAAAGTAAGCAAAATGCTTTTACTCTC